CCGCGGGGGGCGCCGCCGCCACCGGGGGCCTCGGCTACCGCGCGGCGCACGGGGTCCTGCTGCAGGCCCTGGAGGAGATGCGGGCGGACGCCGAGGCAGTGCTGGCGCCTCCCGAGCCCACCCCGTGAGGGATCCGGATTCTCCCTTAGAATTGTGGGGGGTGGGCTTGGAAATCGGGGTCTCTGAGGTGGGAGGGGTGGGGTCTCGGGGAGTGGGGTGCCGGCGCCGACCTGTAGTGTGTGATTTCTGGCTGCCTAGCTTCTGGGGTCTGGGGAGAAAGCGTGCAGGTCAGGACTCCCCGTTTCCAGGGAGTGCGGCCTCCAGGCTGAAGGCTTTAGGGGTTCCCCACCTCCGACTTCTAAAAAGGGTTACGTCTTGGTTTTCAGGTGCAATTTCTGGCCTTCCAGGGGAGGCAGACGATTCCTGATTAGGGTGAGCCACGACTGGACCCCCCCTCCCCACTCCGTTGTTGGAGCGAGGGGTTCCGGTATTGGATTGGATTGCTGAGCCTCAAGGACAAACAATCTCAGTAGGTTTTCTGGGGGGAACAGACCTGCACAGAGGACCCCAAGAGGCAGTGAACCTTAACTGGGGAGGTGCCCCTGGGCTCTCAGACTCCTGTGTCCCAGAAGGGCTGTGAACTTCGGTTGCTGTTTCGTGCATGGTAGACGAGAGCTGCAACCTTGTCCATCTGGGGAGACTCCAGGGCCTGATGTAGGGAGAATGCTCCCACAAAACGAGCAGGGAGGGGGCAGATCTGGGCATAGTGAGTGTGGCCAGAGGCCAGGAAGCCCTGGGTTTTGGGGGGGGACAGGAGCCCACACTTCAGATGCCTCCCATGGGTTCCTGGTGGACTTGGATCCCAGCAGCTGCCTTCTCTCTGACTGACAGGTGTGTGACTGACTACACCCATTTTACAGGTGCTAGGTGATCTGGGTGTCTTGGAGGTGTGTGCTCCTGACTTTCCTATCTAAAGGTCTTTTTTTGTGGTTGTCATTTTTGTAACTGCAGCCCTTTCTGGCCTGGTGTTTTCTGCACCTGCCTTTTCAAAGAAGTGAGTAAACCGTTGCACTACTTCAGGTGCGTGTATATGGGTGCACATGCATGCTGAGAATGTAACCCAAGGCCTTGTGCACTCGGCAAATTGGCTCCGGCTGAGCCACACCCACAGGCCCCAGTTCAGACATCTGGGACATAGCCGGCTTCCTCAGGTGCCCCAAGAGGCCTCCGCTTGCCTGTGCACACAAGGTGCTGTGTGAGCACCAGTGTCCCCCACAGGCCAAGAGTGTGGCAAGGGGCCAGGAGCAAGGTACAGGCTGAGGCCACTGTACCAGCAATGAGCTGGGCGGTCAGCTATGTGCAAGGAAGTCACTTGTTACCAGATTCTTCATCACCCACAGAAAAGAAGGCCATGGTAGAAGGGGAGCAGGGGAGAGACGGCAGGCTGAAGGCTCAACAGCGTGCTGCCAGACCGCGGTCCGCTGCCCTGGCCCCTCCCCAGGGAGCTGCAGATCTCAGGACTCTGGCACTTGCTGTTCTGTCCCAGAATGCTCTGCTTCCACCTCTCCATACCACTGGCTTCTTGTCCATCAAGTCTTCACGTTGTTGCCCCTTCTGGGAGGCCCCTCCCTGACCACCCCCAGGGGGACCACATACCCATGTTGGCCAAGCTGGTCTTCCCCATAGCAAACTTGTTTGGTTGCCTGTTTATGGACTTTGACCCCTTGCCTGTCTTATCCTCCAGTGTTCCCCTGCACCTTGGATATTGCCGGGTACATATGGGTGCTGATTCATTGACTAGTGGCAGGATGAGGACTGCCTTTTTTTTAATAGTTTTTTTTCCCCCCCTCAAGGCTAGCCTTCTATTACTTTGAGCCACAGCTCCACTTCCAATTTTCTAGTGGTTCATTGGAGATAAGAGTCTCACGGACTTAACTGCCCAGGCTGGCTTTGAACCATCATCCTCAGATCTCAGCCTCCTGAGCAGCGAGGATGACAAGTGTGAGGGTCGGCGCCTGGTGAGAGCCACCATTTTGCCTCTTGCCACAGGGCAGCCTGGGGGCCAGGTTAATGGATGAGCACACCCTGTGCCAAGTCAGGGCAGTGGGAAGCCACAGTGCAGGCTGGCCCCTGGCCCTGGCCCCCGAGCCAGCCTCACCTTCCCATCTGAGAAATGGAAGAGCTGGGCCAGAGCCATCAGATGGCATGAGGAAGGCCAGTGATCAACGCTCAGGTAGGAAGGAGGTGGCACCCCAGCCACAGCACACTCATCCCCACCACCGGCACCTAGGGCCATGACAGGGAGAGCATGGGGGAGCAAAGCCGCTCAGCCTTAGCCAGGAGAGATTCGCGTGTCTATGTGACATTCTGGCACGCCACTGTCCTCCATCTCAACTGCTTTGAGCACGATGGCTGGGAGCACAGTGGCACATGACTGTAATCCCGGCTACGGGAAAGTGTCAGGAGGATTTTGGTCAGAGGTGAGGCCCAGGCAAAAACACAAAAGCTTATTGGAAAAATAACTAGCAAACAAGCGGGGGGGGGGGGGAGGGCTGGAGGTGGGTGGCTCCAGTGGTAGAAGGCTTGCCTAGCAGGTGCAAAGCCCTGAGCTCTAAACCCCAGGAGCAGGGGAAAAGGAAAGGAGTGAAACTCAGTATGTTTTGTTTAATGCCACATCCTCCTCCAAAATATTTCAATATGCCGTATTTTTCTTTCTGTAGCCTAGACCAGCCTGGAGCTCACCGTTTTCCTGCCTTAGCCTCCCAAATGCTGGGATTACAAACATGCATCACTATGCCCAGCTCGTACAGTGGTCATGGGGTGTCTTTCTGTTTTCCCGCCATTTATACTGCCTTTGTTTTTGAGACAGGGACTCTGTTGCCCAGGCTGGCCTGGAACTCATGGTCCTGACTTCTTTCACCTCCTGAGCCACTGGGATTATAGGAATGCAGTGCTGCATCTGATTCTGACACTGGGTTTGCAGTGTCTGACACCATGGGGTTCATGATGTTTTTGGGGGGAGGGAGGTGGTGTTTGGGGGGGGCAGGTAGTTGCCTTTTTTTCTCTTTTAAAATGGAGTCTTGCTATGTTGCCTAAGCTAGTCTGAATTCAAGTGATCCTCCTATCTCTGCCTCCCAAATGCTGGGATTACAGGCAGGCACTACCCCACTGGGCTTCCTTTGACTAGGTGAATTTTAGGCTATGAGTGAGGCTTCTGTCTCTGGGAGCAACCAAGAAGAAAAGAATAAACTCCAAGATAGGTTGCTGGCTGCCATCGGTCTGTCTGTGGCATCTCAGGCCACTTGGCAAGCACACATTTTAGGAAATGTACCAGCAATCTTGGTACAGCCATTGCCAGCACTTCACGAGCCCCCAAGCGCATGGGGTTGTGGATCAGAGGTCCTCATTCCTTCCCACAGTGGGATTCCACACCGTGTCCCTTGCAGTGGGGAACTTTGGAGGACAAAGTGTGGGTACGGTCTGCCTATGGTGTGTTTTGGAGGAATAAATAAAAAGTGAGCAAAATCTTACTGTGATGTTTGGGTCTTGAAAGGGGGATTCCATGCAGGGGATCTGTGTGTGTGCCAGTCCTGGGGCTTGAACTCAGGTGCTGGGTGCTGTTCCAGAGCTTTTGTGCTCAAGACTTAGGTTCTACCACTTAATCCATAGCTCTAGTTCCGGCTTTTTGCTGGTTCATTGGTGGCAAGAGTCTCAGCAGTGAGCCAGGAAAAAAATCAGAAGTGGAGCTATGGCTCAAGTGACAGAAGGCCTGACTAGCAAGCTTAAGGCCTGAGTCCAGTCCCCAGTACTTCCAGGAAATAGCTGGGAGCAATGGTGAGATTTAAATGCACTGAATTTTTGTGATCCTGTGATCAGACATGAGAGTCTCTAACAAGAATCCCTGATCCAGAACATTATAGAAGTTCACAGAACAGACACTTCGTGCCCCTGAACTAAATCCAAACCAGTCAACCTGCAACTAGAAAGAACAGACACTTCGTGCCCCTGCCCCTGAACTAAATCCAAACCAGTCAACCTGCAACTAGAAGTAGAGCCACCTAGGCCAACCCACAAACCCCTAGAAACCAGAATATCTGGGCCGGAAATGGTTGTTACACAGCATTATTGTGGCATTAGCTGACTCACACAGCTTTGTTGTTTTCAGCAACTGAGATTAGGGGCTTGTTATTGGAGCGTGATCTGGACTCTCCCAGTTGGTGCCAGGGTTTGGCATCTGCCAACTAATGGCCACTGGTAAGTGGCAGCTGTCAGGGTGATTACTGTTTACGCAAATGGTCTGCAGGATCATCACTCATAAAGGCCTTAAAATGCCCTCAGTGGAAACTGAGGCAAAAAAGTGAGAGGTGAGCCAGGACTCTGAAGCATAACCGTCTTGGAATCAAATGAGGTTCTGACCCTTCCTAACACAAGCTGAGTATGGCAGTGCATGCCTGTAATTCCAGCCCCTGGGAGGCAGAAGCCAGAGTATTGCAAGTTTAAGGCTAGTTTAAGCTCCATGGTGAGACCCTATCTGAACCACACCCCCCCCCAAAAAAAGTTCAGAGTTGTGATGGCAAACTGAGGCAGAATATGGGAACTATCCCAGGGGCATGGCAAAACAGTACCCCTTAAATAAAAGGCAGGGTCTCCCCTTATCTGAAGAGGGGATTGATTGGAGAGGGGGGTGGAGACCCACACCCTCTCCCACCCACCTCTTAGAGATGCATTACAGATGAGGACTTGTTCTGTGGGTCTGTTTTAATTTATAGGCATGGGGGGGGGTGCTGGGGACACATGAGGACCTAAGGCCACACTCTCACTTGGCCCTGCCGGGAGGATGGGAGGCTGGCAGGCAGTCCGCCCGGCGGAGGAAGTAGAGGTAGGAAGGAGAGGGCACTTCCGCCCCCACCTTGGTGTGGCAGGCGCTCTGTGTGGCACAGCCTCGGGTGGCAAATTTGGCGTTGATGATGCCTGTGGAGGGGAAGGGAGCACTGTGGGGAGTACCTTCCCTAATGATCCAGGAGTTCCCCCCCCCCCAGCCTGCTGCCCCCTTCACTGGACCAAATAAGTTCCATCCTCCAGATCTCTTAACCACGTCCTCACCAGCCTGGACGCTGCCCGCGAAGTAGATGCAGTGGGTTTCCTTGCCAACACAGCTGGCGACCTCGGTTTTCGGGCACGTCTCCTGGAAGGGCACGATGCAGGAGGGGCACGTCAGGCCGTTCTTCGTCCGGTTGTTCTGTGGAGCTTCAGATGAGAGAAGTGTAAGGTACCTTCCCCCAATCCCGAGGAACTCTGGGGTTGCTAATGGATACAGACTTTACTTGCTTTCCCCTGGCCTCCACTAGTGATTCTCCTGCCTTAAGCCTCCCACCAAGTACTGGGATGACAGGTATGTGCTACCATGCTTGGCTTGACCACTGAAGCCTACAGGTGAGGAAACGGGGGGCTGAGAAACCAGCAAGGTGCTTGCAAGATGTCATCTGTCCTGCGGGGGAGGGGGGATGTCACACTGGCACTCACGGACTACCGATCCACGGTTGCAGCCGTCGCTCTGGCAGCAGTGCGCGTTGGACACCATGTAGTCATCAGGGCCCATGGTGGTGGACACGAAGCCTGAGTAGCAGTCGCTGAACTTCATGCAAGCCTTTAAGGTGTTTACCGACTTGTGGCCCTCTGCAGGGTGGCGACAGGAACAGAGGGGTGGGTGGGTGGCATAAGCCAAGCCCTGCTTCCCATAGCCATAGCCCTTAATCTGCCTGGTTGCCTGCCTGGGGTGCTTCAATTCAGTAGCTAGTAGACCAGATGCCTCCATGACAGTCGCTTCCACCCAGTCTATCCTACCCCTCCAGCCTTCTCCCAGTCCAGCCTGCCTGGAAGTCTTTCCCAAGCTGCTATGGCCACCCCCATGCTTGTGTACAGTGGTCTCATCCAGCCCTCAGCACTTTGCTCCCTCTACCTCCAAAAGTCTCTGCCAGCAAACCCCAGGAGGCTATTTGATTCCCAACCCCAACATTCTTAGATGCATCTATGCTCACCCTTGTGCTGTCCCTCTATGCTGTCACTAGATTTTGTGTGAGCGATTTCCTGATCCCAAAGGTGACTTTCCAGGCCTGTCATCCTAGCTACTCAGGAGGCTGAGATCTGAGGATTGTGGTTCAAAGCCAGCCTGGGCAGAAAAATCTGTGAGACTCTTCTCTCCAATTAACCACTAGAAAACCAGAAGTGGAGCTGTGTCTCAAAGTAGTAGAGTGCTAGCCTTGAGCAAAATAGAGCTCAGGGACAGCACCCAGGACCCGAGTTCAAGCCCCACGAGACACACAGACACAGACACACACAGACACACACACACAGACACAGACACACACACACACAGTGATCCCACACCAGGCTGGGTGGTGTCTTTCAGGATCACATTCCCTGATCTATCCAGATTCTTGTTTTGGGGGGAGTTCCAGTCCTGGGGCTTGAACTTAGGGTCTTGGAACTATTCCTAAACTTTTTTGCTCAAGGCTGGCACTTGACCACTTGAACCACAGCTCTCCTTCTGGCTTTTTGGTGGTTCCTTGGAAATGAGGGTCTCAAGGACTTTGCTACCCAGGATGGCTTTGATCAGTAAACCTCAGATTTCAGCCTCCTGAGTAACTAGGATGACAGGCGTGAGCCACCAGAGCCTGGCATTTTTGTTGTTCGTTTTGTTTTGGGGGCTTGAACTCAAGGCCTGGGCACTGTCTCTTGAGCCACAGCGCCACTTCAGGCTTTTTTCTATTTATGTGATATTAGGGACTAGAACCTGGGGCTTCATGCATGTTAGGCAAGCATTCTACCACTGAGCCACCTTCCCAACCTTGTTGTTATTGTTGTTTTTCCATGTCTGCATCCCCTTCTTCCTCTTTTGGAGGGTCTCATTGTCCATATCCCTGAAGACGAACGATTTTTATCGCCTTCACTCAATCTCTTTCCTCCATCTCCCAATAGTCATTTTCTCCCTTGAACCTAAATCTTTCTTCCCAGGCTTCAACCATCCAGAGAACAGTGATGATGCTTGTTAATACCCCAGCCGGGTGGTATCACCCTGGATCATCCAATCCCCTCCCAAGGCAGAAGCCATGCCCACCAGCCCAAGCCACACCCATCGGTAGAAACCACGCCCTCCTACTTGTGCTGGACTCCCCCACAAGAATCATGCATGCGTCCTTGCCGGCCTCGCACGTCTTCATTTTCCCGCTGCATGTGTGTCCCGCGCTCTTGCACACCTCGCAGCTTAGAGGGCTTCCTGCAGTGTAGAGGACTGTGGTCACGAGTGGTGTGGTCTTAAGGTGATTAAGATTCTGAACTTCCAATGAGGGACGGGAGATGATGACTTGGGGGTGCAGAAATGAAGGGGTCCTGAGCCTCTGGCTGCTTTGTCTTGGGTAGGGTCACTGACTTCTATGTGAGGGAACCATCCAGAGTCTGACAAGGAAGTGAGGCTAATGCCAGAGAGCGGCTTCTAGAGGGGCGGGAAGTGACTCCCCTGGAGTCTGCTTACTTAATTACAAGGCTGGGGCCTGGGGACGCCAGGGTCCTCTGAGCAAGCTCGGGGGCAGGGAGGGGTCCTGGCAAAGGTTTCCTTGGGCTTTTGTGAAACTTCAGGTCCAGCTGGTTCTTGGGTGTGGAACTCTCCTCCTTGTATACAAAGGTTTTGTACACAGTAGGGGTTCAGGCAGGGGTATGTGAGGCTGGGGTCTAGAGAGGAAGGGGAAACTTGAGGCATGAACTCCTTGGTCCCGAGAGAGAAAATAAGGGTCCTAAACACCGGTCCTAAGGAACCTATGGGCTGGCCTGGAGCCCTGTGTCTAGGTAGAAGAGGAGGTTATAGGTCTGAACTCCAAATCTATACAGATAAAAAAAAAATCTCCCTTCCCTCCTTTTAAAATTAAGTGTTAAAAGTTTCCCTTTCTAGTCATTTCTTAGAATCCAGATGTCTTATTTTGAGACCCTGCTTCAAAGGCAGAGGATTCAAGAGCCCATTAAACCCTCTTGGGACTTAGGCTTTCTTTCCTTACCCTTGGCCAGACTCCTTCCTTAATCGAAATTCTGGGGAGACCTCCTCTCCTCACCCCACCCTCTCTTGGTCAGTCAATCCTCTTTCTGATGTCCCAGGAAGGAGCCCAGGTCCTTTGTCACTTACCAAGGCCCAAGAAGGTGCAGAGCAGTGTGAAGGCCAGCAGGAAGGTCCTCTGTCTCATGGATGGTCTCATGGTGTGTGTGTCTGCAGTCCTGGGTCCTCTGCCCTTATAGGAAGCTGAGGAGGGGCGGGTCTGGACCCACCTTCACCCTGGGGTGAGAAATGGCTGAGGTCAGAACCTAGGGCAGTCCTTCACAGCCTACAGGTTGGGGAGGTGAAACCATCATCCAAAAGGAACCTGAACATCTCAGAGCCAGCCCCTTTCTCCATGGAGTCTCGAGTGCCAACTCCAGCCCCTCCCTCTTCCACCAGGCCCCAGAAGGTCTTTTTCTCACCTTTCCACCACTCATTTTTTTTTCTCTAAGTCCAAGGTCGGAGGTAGGTCACTTGATTCCCTGTGGGTGTAGAGTGCCTGCGAAGGACTGGGATCCCCTTTCCGCTGTCTTCCCAAGGAGGCACCCAACGTGGGTGGAGTCGTACCTGGGAACACCCAGCCTGTCCAGGCTCGTCCTGCGGGGGCCGATCGCCTTTGTCTCCCTTCCCTTCTTCCTGTTGCCCGGCTTATACTTGCTCTTCTGTGTTTGGGCTGCCTCCAGCTCCGACCTCGCCTAGGTCTGGCACCCTTGGTTCTCTGAACAGAGGGGTGCTTGTCAGCGGCCAGAGGCGGGCGAGGGAGGAGATAAATGCCCGCAGGTCACATATTGGGAAACCGAGGCATTTGTGGAAGCATTCTAAACTGCTCTGTGTGTGTGAGTGAGTGAGTGAGCGGTTTGGGAACATGTTCTGCGTTTAATTTAGGACCTCCCCTCCTCCCCTTACTCTCTCTTGGCCTCAGGCAGAAAGCTAAAAGAGATCTGAGTGTGTGTGTGCGTGTGTGTGTGTGTCTGTGTGTCTGTGTGTGTGTGTGTGTGTGTGTGTGTGTGTGTGTGTGTGTGTGGCGACACGAACAGGTGCAGGAGATCCGGTTGCAAATCAGTCTGGGCTCACCGCGAAGACGTCTCGGACGCCCGCAGCGTTTGCAGGCTTCCGTTTGATTGGTGGCGATATCATCCAATGAGAACAGGGGATTTCTTCCAGGCACCAATCCCCGTGGACACTCCTGTTGCTACGTGCCCAGCAATCATGGCCTTGACGTCATCAGAAAACCCGTCTAGAGACTGGTGGAATTCGGAGGAAGGCGGGGCCGAAGGAGGAGATTGTTGCTAAGGAACGTAACGCGTCTAAGCGGAGAGACGTGACTGGGCATGCGCCGTGGTGACGTAAGCGCCGGCGCGCCGCTGTTTGAAAGGCCCATAGCCTCGCGCGCTTGCGCACTGAAGCCCGCGCGAGGAGGAACATTTCCCCCCCCCCCATTCCCCGCCTCTGCTTCCCCCCCTCCCCCCAAAAAAAGAAAAAACAAAACAAAAAAACCAACGCCGACCCTTCTTCTGTCAGTCCCGGAGAAGCCCACGGATTTGACATGCCGGAGATCCGTCTCCGCCACGTCGTGTCCTGCAGCAGCCAGGACTCGGTGAGGGACTGGCAAGGTGGTGGCGGGCGGGGTGGGGTGTGCAGGGGGTGTTAGAAGATGGGAGCGAACTCACGGAAGGGGTTTTATGAGAGCTTCTGAGGTGTAAAAGGGGAACTTGGTAAAGTCGAAGGGAGGGTGATGGGTGAGGAACTTTCAGAGGCCCTAAGTGAATTCTGGGAGCAACGTGGAGTTTGGGAACTTTGCGGGGTGGGGGTGGGGGAGGCGTCTGGAACTTTCAGAGAAAAAAAAAAAGGAGCAATAGGAGAACCAGGGAAAGGAACTTCAGGGGAAACCCGAGGCAGAGTGTTTGTTGGGGGTGTGGGGAGGGAGATCGCCGAGGCTGTGGTAGACTCAAAGGAATACTCTTGAGAATTTGGGAGCCTAGGGGTCTCGTCTGTACCCTAATTCTCGTTTCTTACTCCTGTCTGCAGACCCACTGTGCAGAAAACTTGCTAAAAGCAGACACTTACCGGAAATGGCGGGCTGCCAAGGCAGGAGAAAAGACTATCTCCGTGGTCCTACAGGTGATCCAGTCCTCCCACCTCCTTCCTCCCCTATCCCCCTTCCTTCTGCTTCCTCTGCCTCCTCCCCCACCCCCACCCCTTCCTCCTCCTTCCACGCATAGGGCTTGAACATTCACAGGGGCAAGATTCCGTTCAGCCAACTGGCTTCAGGTCCAATCGCTTTATTTTTTCTTCTGGGCCTCAGCTTCTTAGGAAAACGAGTGTGTATCCCTCAGGAAGGAGAAAAGAGACTCATGGATCAGGCCCAAGATGACCTTAGAAATCATCAGCCATGGGTGGGGTGCTTCTACCTTCTGGACCTCAGTTTCCTCATCTGAAACAGAATGAGTCATGACCATGTACCTTTCCTTCTAAAGTCAATAGGAGCCAGGCTGAAAGGTGTCCAGGAAGATCATTAAGCAAATTGAGTTATGTTTACAACACTGGGGATTGAACTCAGGGCCTAACTTGGGTACTTACCACTGGAGCCACACTCCATGTCCTTTAGTTTGTTTCTTTTTCATATAGATCTTCCAACTAAGGTAACTGGGACTACAGTTGTGTACCACCTAGCCTACACATCAGCTACATCTTCTTCTTCCTTCTTTCTTCTTTGTTTTGGCTAGTTCTGGGGACCTTGCACTCGTATTCAGCTTGCTTGCTTTGTTGGTGCTCTACCACTTGAGTCAAACCTCCTTTTTTGTCAGTTGTGGGCTTTGAACTCAGGGCCTAGGTACTGTCCCTGAGTCTCTTTGTGCTCAAGGCTAGCTCTCTATCACTTGAGCCACAGTACCACTTCCAGTTTTTGAGTAGTTCATTGGAGATAAGTCTCATAGGGACTTTTTTCTCAGGCTAGCTTCAAACCATGATCCTGAGATCTCAGCCTCCTAAGTAAGTAGGATTACATTCGTGAACCACTGGCTCCTGACTCATGCCTCCTTTTTACTGGTTAAAAATTCTGTTTCTGCCCGGGCTAGCTTCAAAACCTTGATTCTTAGATCTGATTAGATCTGAGCCTCCTAAGTAGGTAGGACTATGGACATGAGCCACCAGCACCTGGCTTCACCTTTATTTATTTTTTTGTCAGTCATGGTCCTTGAACTCAGGGCCTGGACACTGTCCCTGAGCTCGGTCATTCAAAGCTAGTGCTCTACCTCTTTGAGCCACGTCTAGTTTTTGGGTGGTCAGTTAGAGGTAAGAGTCTGGAGGACTTTTCCTGCCCTGGCTGGCTTTGAACCGTGAGCCTCAGATCTGAGTCTCCTGAGTAGGTAGGATGACAGGCATGAGCCACCAGTGCCCGGCTTCCAACTTTATTTTAAAATAGGGAAATAAGTCTAGGGAGGGGAAATGAGTGGCCAGTTCAAGCCATCATCTCGAGAATACTAGCTGGGTTCTGAGTGCTTTCTGCACACATTCTTCACTGAATCCACACCTCAGCCCTGTGGATTGGGGTGGGGGAGGCAAAGAAGAAAAGATGATGCCTTGAGATGGCTCTACACTTCCAAAGAGGCTTTGCTGACAGATAGGAGAAAGAGGGCTGAATGCCTTTTAAGTATCGGTTTGTGGCCTGTGTGTTTTACCTGTATGCGACCATTAATAGACTGCAGTGCTTCAGCTTGAGTTCATTGGTACTTTAAACTACATTTTTTTTTTCATCGTTCTTCTTTGACTTTACATACTGGCTTGAGCCACCAAGCCACACACCCAGCCCACAGGCCATCCATCCTTCTCTCTGTCAGCTACATTCCTTAGTCTTGAATGGAGGAGTGTTGGTGTAGGGGGAAGGTGTACATGATTGTGTCTGATCCTGAATGTGTTCTTGTTGATAGAGGTGAGGCTCAGGTGGTAGTATACCAGCCTTGAATGAAAAAGGCAACAGATGGTTAGAGGCCCTGGGTTCTAGCACTGGTCACAGCAGGAAAAGAAAAAATAACAACAGCTGGCAGTCTTCATACCTCTTATGATTCGATTCATTGAATCCTCATAAAACCCTGTGACCCAGGCTCTGTTATTATCTGAATTTTACAGATGAGGAAACTGAGGCTCAGGTGAGTTATGCAACCTGCCTGAGAGCCAGTCTTTTAAGGGTAAACAGATCCGAGTTGCTGATAATTTCATTTTTGGACCTGGATTCAAAATCCACATCTCCATCTTCCTCCCTCTGTGGCCTCAGGTGCTCTCTCTCTCTCTCTCTCTCTGTTTCTCTGTCTCTGCCTGTTCATTGAGAATAATGACATCCAAGCCCAGAGCTGTTGTGGGAATTTAGTGACATGATGTCTGAAGAAGGGATCTGTCAGCACGTGGGTGTTTATACAAAGGGAGGGACTTATGATTTTACTGTGGGGCTGTCAGTGTCAGGCTCTCTGATGACGGTGGTGATCCCAGGAGATACCATGTGGTTCTGTTAACTCAGCCACAATGGGAGCAGAGAAGCTGGGGAAAGAAGAGACAGGACATGGGGTGGGGACTGCGGTGGGGAAGGGTTGGGGGAAGGGGGAAAGAGAGGCAAAGCATAGCATTCTCGGGCTTGGGAGAAAGTGGGGGTATTGTAGCCATCACCAAAGGGAGAAACCCAGAATGGAAACAACTTGAAAAAGGGCTACACTCTGGGATGTCCAGTTTTGGTTGTTTGGTTTTTGTTGTTTTTTTTTTTGTCCATCATGAGGCTTGAACACAGGGCATGGGCGCTGTGCCTGAGCTCTTCTGCTCAAGGCTAGTGCTCTACCACTTTGAGCCACAGCTCAACCTCCAGTCTTCTGGTGGTTAATTGAGGTAAGAGTCTCATGGACTTTCCTGCCCAGGCTGGCCTTGAACTGCAATCCTCAGATCTCAGCCTTCTGAGTAGCCAGAATGACAGGTGTGAGCCACTGGCGCCTGGCTTAGGTTGTCCAGCTTTGATGGGCCTCTAGGACTTTGAAGAAGTGACATCCAGGAGGCCAAGGTAGAAGTTTTCATCATGGAAGCTGATAGACATCCAGGAGTGGACTGGTTCATTTGTTCATTCATTCCATGAGTGTTTATGAATGCTTTGTGTAGACCAGGCTGTCTGCCTTAGCTTCCAAGCTGAAGAAGTGGGCGCCATGAAGCAAATGTATTCAGCCCTATGGACCTTTCTGTCAGTGGGGAAAGACCACAAACAACTCGGCACATGGACTGTCAGATTGGAAGTGAAGGTGTGGCTCAAGTGGTAGAGTGCCACCCTTAAGCGAAGAAGCCAAGTAAGCATGAGGCCCTGAATTAGAACCTTAGTATTGATGTAGGTGTGCAAACACACACACACACACAAATAGAAGTTTATCAGATCATAGTCACTGGAGAGGGACTTCAACAATTAAGGGGATTGGAGGTCTCTGGCGGGGGAGGACAGGAATCAGGGCTTATTTTGTTTTTTGTTCCGTTTTTATGGGGAAGGCTCAGAGGGTTTCCCTGAGCAGGAATGCTTAAAGAAAGCAAGCTGTCCTTCTATGCTGACAGGAGACAGAGATAGCAGAGCAGGCGGTGCCCTGCACATTGGAGCCCCAGCAGGGAGGCCTGGGTAGGGCCTGAGCTAATGGGGTGCAGGTGGAAGCTGTCCAAGATACTCGAGGACTGAAAAACCTTGTCAGGACTCGTCCTTTTCCTCTACTCGATATGGGCACCGGAGGCTGAGCAGAGAGAGACAGAGTCTGATTTGATGGTTATAGGAGCCTGCGGGGTCTGGGTTGGGAATAAAATTCAGGGTGGGGTGCAATAGCAGAAGGCAGCCCCCCCTTCCCACCCACACACATAGGAGACATTTGGAAAATGCCAGGAGTCCCCTAGGCCAGGGGGCTTGGAACTCTCAGGAGCTAAGTTGTGTTCTTTACAAGCTATGCGAGGGGAGAGATCTGGGCTACCTGCTGGCCAGTTGTCTTCTCTGGGCTTCCCTGCTGAGCATGCATTCTCCAATCTGGTCGTGTTACACAACCACCTGGGCCTCGCCCCTGGGGTGCAGCCCTCTGCCCTGCTCGTGATGGCCCCACACAACATTTATTTTGTTTGCTGTGGACAGGAGGCCTTGTGATAAACCAGTCACCTGCTCCCAGACAGGGCGTTCAGCCTGGGTGCCAGCCATGCCTGGCCTGGAGGGGATGGCCGGGTGGGTCCCCTGGGAGCCCTGCCACGCGTGTCACCATGGCAGCCATCTTGAGCCAGGTCCAGCAGCTCCATGGCACATGACTTGCTTTCGGGGACCTGCTGGCTTTGCAATCACTCCATTTGCCACAGTGCTGTTTGAAGTTGGTGACACGCATGTTGCTAAGCACGCATGTGAGGGTTGGACCCCAGACTGGAGCCAGGCACCCCCACAGCCAGATCCGTTAGCAGACCTGCTAGGCCTGGCTCCCTTACACGCCTGCTGTCACTGACCCTGCCCTGCTTCTTGTCAGCACACATTTCCTTTTGTCTCATTTGAATTTTCTGCCAGTAGAGTCACAGTATTTCCTGTTTCATATCTGCTTTTGTTTTGTTTCATTTTTGTGCTGGTTCTGGGGCTTGAACTCAGGGCCTGGGCACTGTCCCTGAGCTTTCTTTGCTCGCACTCTACCACTTGAACCACAGTGCCACTTCCGGCTTTTTTGGTGCTTAGTTACAGATAAGGTCTCACAAACTTTCCTGCCTGGGCTGGCTCTGAACCTCGAGCCTCCAATCTCAACCTCCTGAGTAGCTAGGAATGGCAGGCATGAGCCACTGGGCACCAGCTTCATGTCTGTTTTTGGGTTTCACTGTGTATCGTACTCTGTGGCATGGCAGTTTCCTCTGTAGTCTTTACTGTTCAAAAAAGAAAACCTGGAAGCTGGGTATGATACAGCATGCCTGGGATCCCTATACGAAGGAGGCTGAGGCAGGAGGATCCAGAGTTCGAGGCCAGCCTGGGCTACATAGAGAGGCTTGTCTCCATTTAAAAAAAAAAAAGGAAGTCTCTCTCTACCTCCATCTCTGCATGCTCCCTCTCCTCAGCCCTGCTACTCTGTTCCTTGTTCCTGAGGTGTTCCTTCTTATGGAAGAGAGGTGAGACTTCGAGGGCTGGCAAGGCCTGCAACTAGGGGCCCCTGCCCTAGGAATCATTGAGCACAACTAGGCGCACCCTGCCCTGCCGTCCATCCCGTGTACCTGCCCCTCCATCGGGGAGCTTCCAGGGGGAGAGTGACACCACCCAGCCATGGTCCCCAGGAGTGACACTGCACAGACCTGGTGGGCCAGGAGGGGGTCCTCCTTTGAGCTGGCACGCAGCAGGCTCTCACCACGGCTCTTCTCCACCCGCAGTTGGAGAAGGAGGAGCAGATCCACAGCCTGGACATCGGCAATGACGGCTCGGCCTTCGTGGAGGTGCTGGTGGGCAGCTCAGCAGCCGGGACCAGCGAGCAAGACTATGAGGTGAGCAGGGTCGGGGGGGGGGGCACTAACTGGTGCACGGGCTGGCCTCAAACTGTGATCATCCTGTCTTTGCCTCCCAAGGGCCAGGATTATAGGTGTGCATCACCACACCCAGTTGGATTCTTCATTGTTTGGGATGCCTCTGTTAGCCGTTTTATTTGTGACAAATATTTACAAGAAGGAATGTTTGCTACCTGTTACTTTGTTGTGAATATTTAAAAAGTAGCGCAGTAGCCAGGTGCAAATGGCTCATGTGTGTCATCCTAGCTACTCAGGTGGCTGAGATCTGAGGATCGAGGTTCAAAACCAGCCTGGGCAGGAAAGTCCATGAGACTCTCTTACCTCCAATGAACCACCAGAAAACCGGAAGTGGTGCTGTGGCTCAAGTGGTAGAGTGCTCGCCTTGAGCTGAAGAGCGCAGAGACAGCGCCCAGACCCAGAGTTCAAGCCCCATGTCCAACCAAAAAAAAAAAAGGCACAGTGTGGTTGTGGGGAGGAGGGTGCTGGGTGAGGTGCTAAGCAGGTCCTCTTACCATTGAATCTTGTCTGCAGCCCAGCACAGTCCTTCTTTAACTTCTTTTTCCTTTGTGCCAGAACTGGGGCTTGAACTCAGGGCCAGGGTGCTGTCCGTTTGCTTTTTTCCACTTAAGACTGGCACTCTGCCACTTGAGCCATATCTCTACTTCCAGAGTTTTTGGAGATAGTAGTCTTGTGGATTTTCCTGCTCAGGCTAACTTCAAACTACAATCCTCAGGTCTCAACCTCCTGAGTAGCTAGGATTACAAGCACGAGTCACTGTCGCCTGGCTCTTTAACTTTTTTTTTTTTTGTCGGTTGTGGGGCTTGAACTCTGGGCCTGGCGCTGACCCTCAGCTCTTTAGCTCAAGGCTAGCACTCTACCGCTTGAGCCACAGCACCAATTCCGGTTTTCTGAGTAATTTATTGGAGATAGTCTCACAGACTTTCCTGCCTGGGCTGGCTTTGTACCGCGATCCTCAGATCTCAGCCTCCTGAGTAGCTAGGATGACAGGCGTGAGCCACTGGCACCCGGCCCTTTAACATGCTTTTGAAATGGGTGTCACTGTATTATTCAAGCCATTCTTGACCTCGGGGCTCAAACGGTTCATAGCCTCAGCCTCCAGAGAAGCGGGTCCACACGTATGTACCACCAAGCCTGGTTTGTATGGTTCTTCTTTCTTCTCTCTCTCTCTCTCTCTCTCTTTCTCTTTGCCAGTCCTAGGGCTTGAACTCAGGGCCTGGGCACTATCCCGAACTTCTTTGCTCAAAGCTAGCACTCTACCACTTGAGCTAAAACTCTACTGCTGTTTTTTTTGGTGGTTTATTTGGGATAAGAGTCTCACAGACTTTCCTGCCAGGGTTGACTTTGAACTGCAATCCTCAGATCTCAGCCTCCTGAGTAGCTTGGATTACAAACATGAGCCACCAGTACCTGGCTCCTCCTTTTCCTCTTCCTCCTCCTCTTCCTTCTCCTCCTCCTCCACCACCACCACCACCACCACCATCATCACCACCTCTTTTCTTTCTCCTTCTCCTTCCCCTTCTTCTTCGTCTCTGATTTTCTGGCTAGCTCATTAACAAAATGTTGGGTGGATAAAAATAAAACTACTGTGACAAAGAGTTTAGGAGTCAAAGTGAACAAACCTGTTTCCTGCCAGATGTGTTTTCTTCTTGCAATAGTTTTTAATTGAAGTGTATTTTGGATTGTGTACATGCACAGTCAATGCCTGTAAAATCAAGTTCTGTACCATGGATCAGACAGGACAGGCTCCCCCTGCACCAGCCCCCGCCTCCCAGGGAGACAGACCACAGCTGGTTCTTTTAACAGAGAGAATTTAACACAGGGATTTAGAAATTCGGTGCTGTTGCATGGCTAAGGTCTGGTGAAGGGACAGTATGGGAGCTCCCACCCCTGGGTAGAGGACCAAAGAGAGGCAGGGCTGATTGAAACAGAGGACCAAGTGTGGGGGTCTGGTCACAAGAAGCCAGGATTCAGACTTGGAGGCGTTGCTTCCCCAGATGCTGCTGTACCCAAAAGAGAGTCTTGGCTCTGAAGGTGTGCTAAGCTGTAAACTGGGTTCACTCAGGGCCGTGGGAAGGGGTGCCCCAGGGGGAAGCCCATCTGGGGTTTAGCTGGGAGTCATCTAGCCTGCTAGCCACCCCCACAAAGCCGGCCTCCTCTCGCCAGCTCCCCCTATTGGCAGAACCTGGCAAGTGTGCCTCTGGCCAGCTCCGCCTACTGGCAGAACCTGGCAAGTGTGCCTCTCGCCAGCTCCGCCTACTGGCAGTGCTGGCAGTGCACAGCTGGCCTGCAGCAATGTGAGTTTTCTTTTTTTCCCCCAGGCAAGGCTCACATCCCAGAGCCAATTGGGTCTGAGCGGAGAAACACTCCCCTAACAGTTGACACTGCTCCCCTGCCTCTCCTGCCTCTTAGGAGGATGCATTCTCATTTCTGTCTGCCTATGCTCCTCCTGGCCTTCCTGCCAGCTCCGTGTTGCACTTCCAAAAGATGCTTAAATACTGTACCAGTCTCTGACCATTCTCCACAGGAGAGTTCCCTGGCCCATGTGGCCCTCAGGTCACCTGATCTTGAAGACTCCCTGGAAGAGTATAGAGAAGGGCCATTCAGATCTGTGGGTTAGGACAACCCACCTAGACTGCAGGATGACCCAGAAATCCCACCCCTGGTGTGTGAGATCAGGACAGGAAGGAAGTCAGTATGCCACAGAGATGGCCGCACCCCTGTGTCTATTACAGTAACAAAAGCTACAGAAACAACTGAGGGTCCACCGGCAGAGGGTGGAATCTGGAAAGGAGAGGAACAGCTAGTGGGGGTGTCACGAGGGGGAAAGTACTGTCTAGTGCCCTTGAATGCAGGAGGGCAACAGGCCGGCAGCCATTCATTGTATATCTCAACATAGCTGGTAGAAGGCTGGGATGTGGTCCACGGGGCAGAGTGCTTGGCTCTGAGTTCAAACCTCAGAACTGTCAGAAAAAAAAGAAATAATCAAAGCTGGTGCTGGTGGCTCATGCCTGTCATCCTAGCTACTCAGGAGGTTAAGATCTGAGAATTGCATTCAAAGCCAGCCCAGGTAGGAAAGTCTGTGAGACTCTTATCTCCAGTAAACCACTAGAAAACCGGAAATGGCGCTGTGGCTCAAGTGGTAGAGCGCTGGCCTTGAGCTGAAGAGCTGAGGGACTGCGCCCAGGCCCAGAGTTCAAGCCCCACGACCGACCAAAAAAGTAAAATAAAAAAATCAAGTAGCTAATAGAGGCTTTGATATTCCCAGTAAAGGAACAGTGACACCTGAGTGGAGTATTGAAATGTCACACAACACCTTGTTAAGATGTCTGCGTATATTTAAAGTCCCTTGGAGGCTGACCCATTGGAGGTGCAGAAATGCGGGCACTGAAGCTGGTGCCCTCCCCCTCCTCTGCCCGGGCTGCTTGGCCTGCACCCCCTCGCCCAGTCCCTGGGTCGTATCATTGGAACCATCCTGATTCTCATCCCACGTGTCCTTCCACCCAGGTTCTTCTGGTCACCTCGTCCTTCATGTCCCCTTCCGAGAGTCGCAGTGGCTCCAACCTCAACCGCGTCCGCATATTTGGGTCTGACAAGTTGGTCCGGGCCGCTGCGGAGAAGCGCTGGGACCGTGTGAAGATTGTGTGTAGCCAGCCTTACAGCAAGGTGCCCAGGGAGCGGCCAGGGCCTAAGGCCTGGGGCGGGAGGAGCCAGGGCCGAGGCTGAGTTCCCCAGGGCTGGGTGCAGTGAGCAGCTAGGGCCCTTTGGGAATGTCCTAGGCTCCCCGCAACATCTGCCCCTGCCTCCAGCGGCAGAGGGACACACCCGTGGAGGTTTGTGTTCTGGAAGTGGCTCAGGCCAGAAAGTGGATTGGGTGGGCCAGCCAGCCAAGTTCAGCGTATCATCCTCATTGTCAGCCTCATTGTCAGCCTCGTCAGGCCTCCTGTCTGCTCCAAGTGAAGGGGTCTTGGGGGCCCGGCCCTGTCCAGGCCTGACACCCCGGCTCCCACCCCTGCTTCCCCAGGACTCCCCCTACGGCCTTAGTTTTATACGGCTTCACAGCCCCCCAGACAAAGAGGAGGCCGAGGCCCCTGCCCAGGTAAGCTTCCCCCCTCTCCTCCCCAGAGCCCCTCTCCCTAGCTCCCCACGCCACCTGCCTGCAGCCTTCCCACCCCACTGACCTTGCGGGAACTTAGAAGGGGACCGTGACCAAGCTCGGCCAGTTCAGAGTGAAGGAGGAGGACGAGAGCGCCAGCTCCCTGCGGCCCGGCTCGCTCTTCTTTAGCCGCATCAGCAAGGCGTCCCCAGGTGCGTGTGAAAACCACAGGGCCCGACCCCCGGTCGCTGCCCGGTGCTGTGGGGGCGATGCCAGGTCCCCAGGCCGCTGGTCTTTCATCCCGGGTCCATTTCTCCCTCTGTAGCCACCTCCAGCGAGCCTGCCGGGCCCAGCTACGCTGCGGCCACACTGCAGGCCTCGAGCTCCGCCGCCGCCGCCTCTGCTTCTCCCACGTCCAAGGCTACAGGCAGCGCTTCCAAGGTGAGATCAGGAGCCGAGGGGGGAGTCGGGGAGGAGAGCTACTGGAGTCCTCAGCCTGCCCCCCCACCCCGCCGTCCTCAGCCTCAGGAGCCCCCCAAAGGGAAGAGGAAGTTGGATTTGAACATAGAAGAAAGGAAGGCCCCTAGCAAACCATCAGCCCAGCTTTTGTCACCCACCCTCAAGAAGCCCAAATGTGAGCACCTTGTTTGCCTCGGGGCTGGGCTCTGGGGTCCTACTGGGTCTGAGGGAGGAGGCTGGGGCCTGGACCGCTGGGTCTGAGGGAGGTCTGCTAACAAACTAACTGAATCTCCCCTTTGGCTCTGCAGTGCAAACTCCCACCCGGGCCCCAACTGCAGCCCCCGTGTCCACCCCAGTGCCGGCCTCTGTACCAGAGAAGCCTCGGGGAGAAGGCCCTAAGCCCAAGGTCGCCCGGGCCGGCGCACAGGAGCTGGGGAAGGTGCTTCAGGGCGTGGTAGTGGTGCTGAGCGGCTTCCAGAACCCCTTCCGCTCCGAGCTGCGGGACAAGGCCCTGGAGCTGGGGGCCAAGTACCGGCCAGACTGGACCCCGGACAGCACCCACCTCATGTAGGCCTGTGCCCTCCCTGGAGCCTGTGTCCCCCTTCATCTCTCCCTCCCCTCCCTGCCTCCCCCTTTACTACTGTCCCTCTGTCCCTTGCAGTCCGTCTGCAGCCTCTGCCTGCTTTTTTCTCTGCTCTCGTCTGTTTTCTCTTATTTTCTCTTCCTCCCTCACCCCTCCCTCTTCCCCTGCGCCCCTCAGATCACAGTTAACTGACGTCCCCTCTTCTGTCCCCCACCAGCTGTGCCTTTGCCAACACCCCCAAGTACAGCCAGGTCCTGGGCCTGGGAGGCCGCATTGTGCGCAAAGAGTGGGTGCTGGACTGTCACCGCATGCGCCGGAGGCTCCCCTCCCGAAGGTGAGCCCCACCCCCCCCTCACCCCTCACCCCAGGACTGCCCCCCCACTAGTCCTGAGCTCAGGGGGCCCAGAGTCTGCAGCTTCTATGACATGGCAGGGCCTGGGACCTGGATGGGTCACAGGACATGGTGACCCGTCCTTGACACAGAAGGAAAAGAAGCTGCCGTGGGGGCAGCCATGCAGGGGGTGAGGGGGCACAGACAGCTGTGGGGGGGAGAGGGGGGAAGTAGAGGCAGGCATGGGACAGTTCAGTCGTTCAGTGCCTTCCTCCTGGAAGCCTCTGGCTTGGATGGGGGGCTGGGCATGTTGTAACATGGAGAGAGGACTGGCGTGCGGAAGGGACATCCTGATCCCACCCTGGGGGCAGAGGGGCCACAGAAGACTTCTGAGCTGGGAGGGGCGGTGGGGTCTACCTGGCCTGTTAGTTGCTGCCCAGGGGTGGCTCACACCCATCATCCCAGCTACTCAGGAGGCTGAGATCCGAAGACAGCTTCAAAACCAGCCTGGGCAGAAAACTCCATGAAATTCTTTTTTTTTTTTTTGGGGGGGGGTCCGGTCGTGGGGCCTGAACTCTGGGTCTGGGCACTGTCCTTCAGCTCAAGGCTAGCACTCTACCACTTGAGCCACAGCGCCACTTCCGGCTTTTTTCTTTTTGCTTATGTAGTGCTGAGGAATCGAACCCAGGGCCTCAGGCATGCAAGGCAAGCACTCTACCACTGAGCCACCTTCCCAGCCCTCCATGAAATTCTTATCTCCAGTAAACCAGAAAAAAAAAAGCTGGAAGTAGCGCTATGGTTCAAGTGACCGAGCACCAGCCTTGAGTGAAAAAGCCAAGCAAGAGCGCAAGGCCTTGAGTTCAAGCGCTAGTTCCAGCCTGCATACAGGTTCTGTTCTGCGTCATCCTAAATGACCAGCCACTGCACCAACTTGCATTCAGATGCCATGTTTTCCACCCAGATACCTATAATTTACTTATTTTTTGGTCATGAGACTTGAACTCAGGGCCTGGACACTGTCCCTGAGCTCTTTTGCTCAAGGCTAGTGCTCTACTACTTTGAGCCCCAGCTCTACATTTGTCTTTTTGGTGGTTTATTGAAGATAAGAGTCTCACGGTCTTTCCTGCCCAAGCTGGCTTTGAACCATGATCCTCAGATCTCAGCCTCCTGAGTAGCTAGGATGACAGGCATGAATCACCAGCTAGCTCTCCTGATGTGTAGCTGACTTTGATTTTTCTTCCCTCTGAACTGGGATACTTTTTTCACAAAAGGAGGGGAGGAAAGAGGGTGCTCAGAGTTTGTGGGGTCCTTGGGGCAGGCAGGAGGGACACAGGAGTGTAGTTAAGTACTGTGGCTGCTGCTGCCCAGTGCCCTCTCACCTCCCCCTTATGACCCACACTGATCTGCCTGTCTGATCCCCCCCATTCCTCCCTAGGTACCTCATGGCGGGGCCTGGCTCCAGCAGTGAGGACGAGGGGGGCTCCGACAGCGGCAGCAGTGGGGACGAAGCCCCCAAGCGTCCCCGAAAGGTCTGGAGCCTTGGCAGGAGGAAGGGGGGTGAGAGGGAGCACCAGGGAGGCTGTGGTTACCCACCCCGTTCCTGTGCGCAGCCATCCCCATCCTTACCCCATCCCCCTTGTCAGCGTCCACAGACCAAAGCTAAGCCCCCCCAGGCGCCAGAACCCAGCTCACCCCCGAAGCCCCCAACCCCTGAAATGACCAAAGCAGCTTCTCCAGGACCCCAGGAAGATACAGATAGTGAGGAGCAGCCGGCAGGTGAGAGGCTAAGGGAGGGGCGGATCCCTGGCTCTGAGGGAGGGGGCTGGGGTCTGAGGGAGGGGGCTGGGGTCTGAGGGAGGGGGCTGGGGTCTGAGGGAGGAGGGCTAGGGTCTGAGGGAGGAGGGCTGAGACCTGGACTCCTGGGTCTGGGGGAGGAGGCTGGGTCTGAGGGACGAGTGGAGGGTCTGTAAGGTAAAGGTGGAAGGAGAGGGTCACTGGGTGGGGATCACTGGCCCTGGGGTTGGGGTGCTGGGTTGGTTGCCTCGTGCCGCTGCAGGAGTTAGGGGCGGCCAGTTTCCCAGAAGCGCAGGCCGTGTCTGACTGAGCTTCTCCTGGCAGGACAGGACACCGGGGCGGACGAGTCCGGGGACACGGAGGACGAGCTGCGGAGGTGAGCTCAGCTGGCTCGGGTGCGGGGCGAGGGGAGCGCGCGCCCCTCTGAAACCCTCCGCTCCCCCAGGGTGGCAGAGCAGAGGGAGCAGCGGCAGCCCCCAGCGTCTGGGGAGAACGGCGAGGACCCGTACGCGGGCTCCACGGACGAGAACACGGACCGTGAAGACGACAGGGAGTCCCCGGACCTGCCGGTTCCTGAGCTCCCAGGTGGGGCGGCCCTGCGGCCCTCACGCAGCATCGCAGCGGTGCCATGCCCCCTGCAGCCTGGCGTGGTGCCGCCCTGCCCGCTGCCCGCCGGCCGTGCCCACCCTCTCCTGGGCTGGCCCTCCCCTTCAGCTTCCTCTGGGGTGCAATCCCACGTGGGTCCCCCTGGGCCCCCAGTGCCAGCGGCTCTGCCCTCTTGACCCCACCCTCCTCGGGCCTGTGCCAAGGGCACTGCAGTTCCTCGGGACCTCAGCGGTGGCACCATGTGCTTCCATTGTCTTCATCACCAGGCACACGCGCGAGCTAGGAGGGGGGGGCGGGGCCTGCAGGGCCTCTTGGGGTGATGATGGAGGGAAGAGGAGGGGGTCAGGCCCCGCTGGAGGTGAGGTTTGGGCTGCTGGGATCGCTGCCGGCCAGACTCCTGACAGGGCAGCACCCCCACAGTGGCAGCTGCCAGTGGCTGAGCCCAGGGGACGCGGGGAGGAGGCTACCCCGAGGAAGGGCCCGGCCCACGTGGGGCTCTGGGGCTGCCAGCCTGCACCGCGCCACCAAAACCAACCTGACACGGTGAACTAGCATTGCAGCAGGCACAGACACAGATAGGCCTTCTGGAAGGTTCTGAAGGGCCATCGCATGCCATGAGTGCCCACCCCAGGTGACTCAGTCCTCCTCCTCCCTCGACAGACTTCTTCCAGGGCAAGCACTTCTTCCTGTACGGCGAGTTCCCCGGGGATGAGCGCCGGAGGCTCGTCCGCTACGTCACGGCCTTCAACGGGTCAGTCCCGGGGACATGAGGGAGCATCGGGGTTGTGGGGAGGATGGAGAAAGGGCCAGCCAGACTGGGGCCGGGGGTGGGGTGGGGCGAGACACGGGACAGTCACGCTCACCATGCAGGGCAGCCCTACATGCCCCACTTCCCCTCAGGCTGCCCCCCTTCCAAGTGGTCTCCTCCACCCATCTCTAGAATGTGGCACAACATTGGGCCGCTACCACTGAGGCAGGGCAAGGCCAGCACATAGGAGACGGAGGCCCGCAGGTAGCTCCAAGGGGGCAGAGCCTGGGCCTGGGGGAGGCTGGAGTCTTTGAGAATGACATGGAGTATGACATCATACTGCCCCTTTTCTCCTTTCCCACCAGGGAGCTCGAGGACTATATGAGCGACCGAGTCCAGTTTGTGATCACAGCCCAGGACTGGCATCCCAGCTTCGAGGAGGTGAGCCTCCAAAGGGCAGAGACAAAGGAACCCCTTGCCCAAACTCGCCCTGCCATCCCCTGGCAACCCCTTAGTTACACATTCCTCTGTGAACTCTCCCCCCCCACCCCCAGGCCCTGATGGAAAACCCTTCCTTGGCGTTCGTCCGTCCCCGATGGATCTACTCCTGCAATGAGAAGCAGAGGCTACTTCCTCACCAGCTGTACGGGGTGGTGCCCCAGGCCTGAGGTGCCCTGCCTGCATGTGTTACGTACATGCGCGTGTGTGCACACAGGTGCTTAATAAAGAAGACTTGGTTTGGAGAAGCTGCCCCATCTCAATGTCACCCCGGGCTCCAAGAGACTTCCACCCCTCCACCAGCCAAGAGGCAGTGGCAGGTGAACTCCAGACCCAGGAGTTTGGACTCCATAGTGGGAGTGGGGGAGCAGCAGGGGGTTCAGGCATGGACGGCATCAGAGTCTGAGATCCACTGGGCAACACTACAGCCTTGAGATTCTCGCATCTGAGGACCGGCGCCAGCCAGTCCAGCTCCTGAACTTGCCGTCAAAGGACTTGGCTTCCCCCATACACACTCCGAGGTCCTGGGTTTTGAACTCGGGGCCTGGGCACTGCCCCTTAGCTCTTTCGCTCAAGGCTGGCACTCTACCACTTTGAGCCACAGCATCATTTCCAGTTTTCTGGGGGTTCATTGGAGATAAGAGTCACAGGGACTTTTCAGCCTGGGCTGGCTTTGAACCATGATCCTCAGATCTCAGCCTCCTGAGTAGCTAGGATTACAGGCGTGAGCCGCTTGTAAGGGACATAGCTTGTGACTTGATTTTGGCCACCACTTGCTTGTGCCCACTGTCCTACCTGGACCACGTCTATCTGCACCACTGTGTCCCATGCAGCCATCCTCTGCCAGCTCATCCCCACTAGAGAGTGGGGGAAAGGAGGTGCCAGCCCCTCCCTATACCCCTCTACCACACCCCGGCTCACAGATGGGCCATGTGTGCAAAGGAGCGCCAAGGCCCCCAAACTGCGGAGCAGGTCTAGGTCTGGGCTTTTAGATGGACTCTGTGTCCATATTCCCCCCCCCCAGTGGGGGTCAGGACTCTCCACGTCACTGTAGCACTGGCTGTGTTCCGGCTAGGTACCCCTGTTGATGGGCACAGGACTCCTGCCAGTTCTTGGCCACACCATCCGCCAGACAGTGAATAACCTCACCAGCATGCGTTTATAGAAAGAAGCCAGTGCGTGTGCTTTAAATGTCTCAACTCCAGTCACAGGGAACCAAGATGGAGATGCCAAGTTAAATGTGTGCCCACCTTCCTCACCAGCCATGAATACTGCCAGCCCTTCCACCTTGGCCAGGTAAAGCGGTGAGGAGAAGCAGAGCTCAGGACCATGTGGCCACAGTTCCTGGGCTGTTGGTTTACCCAGCATTAGCTCTGCCCCTGGGGGTGAGCAGAGTTCTTCAGCCTTGCGGCCAGCCCTGTATGAAAGCCAGTGTCTGCCCTGCAGAGAGAGGCCAATGCCCACAGGCAGGTTTAGAAAGCCTACCGCTTTATTGATGGGAGCTGGCAGGGTGTGTGTCTCCCTGGTGCTCACTCCCTGTACCCCAGTAGTGGCTGCGCTGGTGAACTCACAGGAGGCGTCTCTGGCCACAGGTTTGTGCTGGCCATGCCCTAGCTGCCTGGCAGGGTGGAAGGGTCATGGTTCAGGCAGTGGGCAGCCAGCTTGAGGGGTAGGAGAAGGCCTGACAGGGCAACAGTGTGAGCGCTGGGGCAGGGGGAACCAGCAAGGCCTGGGGGGCACCCCCCTTAAACAAGGGGGACCCGGGAGCTGGAGCTGCAGCCAATGACAGCTTCTCTGCCAGGGCCTGCTGGGGACCTGGGGGGGACAGGAAGAAGCGGCCAGCCATCTTAGCCTAGTCCTCCTCCTGCTAACTCAATGTTGGAGGCGCTCCTCAAAAGTATGCTAGCACATGAAGTATTTAACTATGGACAGTAAATCTAAGTAATGCCATCTTGGCGTCTTAATAGAAGATGGGGACTCTCAGAACTAGAGGTGATAGGACATTCTGTGGATGGCAGATGTGTCCTGAGTTGTTGAGCTCCAGGAAAGTCTTGCTTCCCCTAGATAATCAGGGTCCTGATGGCCCTGGATTGTTCCCCTGGGTAGTTTGCTTTGCCTATGTGTAACACTTTTGTTAGGTTTAATTTCTCACACTGGTTATATGGTCTTTGCCTTTAAAAGTTTTGTGCAAGACTGCTGGTGGGAATGTAAACTAATACAACCACTCTGGAAAGCAGTCTGGAGGTACCTCAGAAAGCTAAATATAGACCTCCCCTACGACCCAGCCATATCACTCCTAGGCATCTACCCTGAACAACAGGAACCAGAATACAAGGACACCTGCACCTCTTGTTCATTGCTGCACTGTTCACAATAGCCAAGATAGGGAAACAACCCAGATGCCCCGCTACAGATGAATGGGTCCAAAAATTGTACCAATATACAATGGAATATTACGCAGCCATTAGAAAGAACAAAATAATGGCATTCTCAGGGAAATGGATGGAACTAGAACAAGTCATTTTGAGCGAATTAAGCCAAGATCAGAGACACAAATGGCATATGATTTCCCTGATATGTGGATGTTAAGTTCAAAATGTAATGAGATATGACAAAGTAAACAGGACTCAAGAAACAAAGGACCTCTTCTTAATTTGTCATATGGTTTTTAGATGACTCCATGTTCTTGACCCCACATATGATAGATACATGTGCACATCTGAGGGAAGCTAGGAGGAGGGCACAGAATCAGAAGGAAACAGGTGAAGAAATACAGCAGAGGGGCCCATCAACTGTACTGGACATTGATGAAAGGGAATCAAGCAACTCAAGGGCAGCAATGGGGGCTGGGAAGGTGGCTCCGTGGTAGAGCGCTTGCCTTGCATGCCTGAGGCCCTGGGTTTGATTCCTCAGCACCACATAAGCAAAAAAAAAAGCCGGAAGTGGCGCTGTGGCTCAGGTGGTAGAGCACTAGCCTTAAGCTGAAGAGCTGAGGGACAGCGCCCAGGCCCAGAGTTCAGGCCCCACGACCAGACCCAAAAAAAAAAAAAAAAATCAAGGGCAGCAATGGGAGGGAGGGAAGGAGAGCGAAAGAGGGAACAGCTAACACTAAGCAAAAGAAAAGAAATGTACATATCATCCAATTTGGAAGAAACAGTTTGTAGAGTTCACAAGCTTTATTGAGTGTGATAATGACAATTCGCCTTGTGAAGGTTAAAATGTATCTGTGACTTTAGCTAAGTATCACTATCCCACAATATTGTGAAATGTATGTAATCTCAATAAAGAAAGATTATTTTAAAAGTTTTATGCAAGCTGAGCACTGGTTCACGCCTGTAATCCTAGCTACTCAGGAGGCAGAGATCTAAGGATGACAGTTGCCTGAGCAAAAAAGTCCCTGTGAGATTTTTTCTTTTTTTTGTGGGGCCTGAACTCTGGGCCTGGGCGCTGTCCCTCAGCTCTTCAGCTCAAGGCTAGCGCTCTACCACTTGAGCCACAGCACCACTTCCAGCTTTTTTCTTTTTGCTGGTGTGGTGCTGAGGAATCGAACCTAGGGCTTCATGCATGCAAGGCAAGCGCTCTACCACTGAGCCACCTTCCCAGCCCCCCTGTGAGATTCTTACTCCAATAAACCACTAGAAAACCGGAAGTGGCTCTGTGGCTCAAGCGGTAGAGTGCTGGCCTTGAGTTGAAGAGCACACCCAGGCCCAGAGTTCAAGCCCCATGACCGACAAAAAAAAAAAAAAAATCTGTGCAAGAGACATTCTGGGCTTTCAGTCAGGAGTCTACCTGCCAATAGATTCCCTATTTGATCTCTCAAAAGGTGGCTTCTCTTTTCTCCTAACTGAAATCCTGTACAGCAGTTATCCCCAGTCCCCCAAGAGCGTCCTCTCTGCTTCCCCCTCACCCTGTATGGAATGTCTTGAGGAGTTCCAAATGGGGTTCCTTTCTGGGTCCCCAAAGCTGTCAGGTTCCCCCCCTCCCCTCCACACATTGTACCAAGGTGTCCATTTCTAGCATCCGTGATCATCCCGAAATCCTCCCTGAAAGAGGCATCAGCTTTCACCACCTCCTGCCTCCTCCCCGCTCAGTGTGATTCCGGGCAGCACTTGAGCCCGGGCTCATGGGGTGAGGCTGGGGGGCCTAGGCTCAGGGATGAGGACGTTTAGGAGCAGGGCCCATCCACGTGGAGGCGGGGCTACGTTCTGTGGGCGTGGTTATGCAAATTGACGAAGGCGGTCTTGGCTACACCCAGGGCCTGAATTCCAGGCGGGGTGGGCGGGGCCTCTCTTACGGAGGCGGTTGACAACTCGGAAACCGGGATAAACGGAGCTGAACCAAACAGACCAAAGTTCTTATGCTTTGCCTGGAAGGTCCAGGGGAGAGCCTTAGAAATCATGGTGGGCGGACCTTCGGGCGAGGTAGGTGGGCCTCCGAGGGGAGTGGGCGGGTCTTCAGGCGGGGTGGGCGGGTCCTTTGCATCTGGGTCTAGGGGGCGTGGTCTATGCACTAGGTGGGCGGGCCTCACTGGAGCGGCGGCTTAATGGGGCTTATGGGCTGAGCCTTCTCCACCCATGGACGCCTCCCCAGTTGCGCCCTTCTTGCCCCAAAATTTCATCCCTGGGATGGAGCTGAGGCCGTGGGGGATAGACAGGACACCTAGAGAAAGATGCAAAAGGAACATGGCGTGCGTAGTAATCCAGAGCCCCTCCCCTTTCTCTAATAGACTTAGTTTTCCCTGGTGGGTACCAGGCGTCTGCGACTTTAATGCCCCCATCCGAATAGAGGCATTCGGGCCCCAATGCATCCCCCGCCCCCCCGAATCGGAGCACTCCCCAGACCCAAATCCATTTCCCGTAGCCATTGGCACCGGGACCCCCCACGCGCTCCGCACCTGCGGCTCGGCCCGCCCCTGGGGGGCGGGGCCCTCCTGCCCCGGCCCACGCTGGCGCTGCTGCCCGTCGGCCGCACCTAGCTCTGCGCCTCCGGGGGACCGGGGAGTCGGGCGGAAGGAGGGGTAGCTCGGCCGGCAGCGGGTCGCCCGGCCTTACTCCCATGCCCTCCTCCCACTCTGGGCCGAGGGGGCGTTGGCACGCATGCGCAGGGGCGTCCAGCGTGGAAGGTGGGGTGGATGCACCTGGCTGTGGAGTGCACGAGCCTGGGCTGAGCTACCAGCCCGAGGACCGCAGGAGAGTGCATGGCCGGGGTGGGGCGGGGTGGAGGAGTCTACGGAAGCTGACTG